AACAAATGACGAGTGAGCATCATTCCTGATACAATGAATGTAGCGTTTTATCGCAACTGGCATGAAACATTTTGCTAGCGATTGCCTTGTTCCCCCTTCCACAAAAGCCTCCCCCCCCTTATACGTTTTCACCCAAACTGCTACTTCCAAATAATGGTATCCATACTTATAATAGTAAAGCTTACTTTACTTTGATTGGCTACCTACTTTCCCCCTTCGAAAACTACTCTCCCTTAGGCTTGGATCGTCAAAATCTCATGATCACTGACAAGAAAGCTCATGCGTGACACGCAGCACTGGACGACGACTACTTTAACTGCCATGAAAACAAAATACATTGCATGAAAACAGCAAATTAAACCAACAATCTCGAACGAAATTACAATGAATCGAAGTCACTTACCACTGGATGCTGTTGGTAAAAGAGATCTAAATTTAAACTATGAAGAGTTCCAGCTGAATGCGATCTTGACATGTTGTTTGGACGTATGTCTTAGCTGACATTTGCAACATTAAAGTCGTATTCAAACGGCTAACCCATAGATAAAGTGAGAGTAAACCAAAAACCCGACGAACAAAAGGAAGTCATTTATGAAATTCTAAAACCTTGTCAGAGGTCACTATGCGTCCTTGGATACACGTATTATGAAAAATCTGGAATATTAGATCAAATAAACGATCTGAGACGGTTACCTTTTGATAACATCTAGAAATAATCTTCATGTTTTCGAGGGAAAATATCATTCCTAACAAATGAACGGTCATTGAAATGTTAACATATTTGAACACGTTGTTCGATATAAAAACCAAAAAACATTTGATGATAAAGACATTTTCGTTTGTATTTGCAAAAAATTATGATTCGTGAATAAACTGAAATAACTGAGCGCTGTTCAGGCTTGTTGCGAGCAATCTGTGTTTTCTAGCATCTCCAATGATGTAGAATTCGGATATAGCTACTGTAGACATTTCTCGTTTGGTTCAAGCTTTGCTAACCCACTGTCTGTCCTACCTGGAGCACTGAAAATATTGTCTTTTGTGGAATCATGTTCTGTATTTTACACAGAAAGTCCACGCATGGTAAATCCTGTAATCAAAGTTGCAAATCTAGCAAGCATGCAAAAAGGAAAGCATTTCTGCGCGTTTTTACGTTATTTGCATCAACCAGAAAAGACCTTTAGGGGAAAGCATCGACATCCTTAAATTCAAATTTGTTAGCTGTTTAACAGTAACCATTTCTATTCTACATTGATATGGAACACTCGGAAAAGGAGCGCTCTACACCTTACACGTATTTTTTTTATAAGAAACTAAGGTCCGTTGCTGGTAGGTAGTTTCTTAAATTTTCTGGCCATTTTCCTATCCAAAGTTTCTTACATGTTTCTAAAATTTTTTTAGGTAATGAATTTTTAAAACGTACTTCCAAGGTGAAGTAAATATATTAAGGCATTTTGTTAGCCTAGAATGACTGACTCTGTTGAGATCTGTAAACAGTTAAGCTCATTGAACTTCATCAATGTCAAGTTGAAGTCAAAACAAATTTTTAAATGGAAATTTCTTCAGTGTGCAATTTACTGAGAAAGAATGCAAACTGTATGTCAAGTGTAGTGTTGCAATATACAGTGATGTTCAATGTCAAGACTGTTTCGAGTGTCAACTAGAAAAAAAAGGGTTGTTTCTTAACTTTCGAAAAATTGAGCCTACCGATTCTTAAAACCTGTTTTTTATAAAAAAATGCGCGAATTCCAAGTCTAAATGGATTGTCAACAAGCTACTTGTAGCCAATATTTCGGATCTGTTAGATCTTTAACCCATATTCATACTATTCAAACACAGCACGAAGGAAAGGGATCATCTTTTTGAAACTGTTTTCCTTGCAAACAAATATGGGTTTTTACCACCGTTACATCTTTCATTCTTTAAGCAACAATGAAAGTACTAAAAACTGGCTAGTAAAACTGTGAGTCAGATTCGCCTATTTGGTCAAAGGTATAGTATGATTTATGATTAAAGGTTTGAAAACAGCAGTGACAGAGCAAATGCATACGAGCTATGATGTTGACAAATGTTCATTTAGATCCTTAAAGATATATTCTTGCACAATATGTTTAATTTGCTGTTAAAGTCATAAAATCGGGTTTTGAGGATAGTGTTGATTGAAAAGTTCGTAAAAAGATCGAATTTTTTGTCGTTATATGAGTATCGATTCCTTCAATGCAATTTTTGGATGGGGTTAAGCTTCCAGAAATGTGCGATCGGGCACACTTTTGTACAGTTGAACGACAGAAGGGCTATCGTGAATCTTTGGTAGAGTTTTCTGAGAAAATCAGTTTTTAAAGTTATTCAATACCAGGAAAAAATTGATTTTGGAAGCTGGTTTCTTTTCTAATGAACACAACACAGTATACGTGTCTTTTACATTCAATGCAGTACATTCAATTTTGCGTTCGTCGTACTTTAACAACTTTTTGTCACAAGGCATCTTTACTGACTATGGTCACAAAGAGGAATGTTCCTGGTTTATATTTTAGAGTTCTACTGAGCTGCACTACTTGTGATTTTTTTTGACTAAAAGGACATCGAAATTTAAATCTCTTAAAGTATCAAACCTCTAATTTTTAGTGTTTTTAGTATCTTTGAATTCAATAACCAGGGAAATGACATATGCCTAAGCTTTACACTGATAATTGTCTAGTGACTGGCTAAGATTTTACGCCAATATGTTGTTTTTTCCTACTTATTCCAAAATGTCACATTACTCGGAAGGGAGTGGCGGAAATTGCAGGGTTGTGGAGGGGGTGGCAACCACCCCCAAGCTTTTGCTAAATTTTCAGCTTTTAGGTAAATTTTGTCCTTTGTCGAAAAATTTGCTTGTTTTTGTGGGTTTCGCTCCCCCACCTAAAAAATGAATTTCCGCCACTGCCGGAAAGCGCAGATCATTTCATTTAATCTTATCTATAGATGAAATCAATCCAGTAAAAAGACAAAGTTATGATATACAAAATGAAAAACTACATTAAAATAAAAAATTTCTTAAGGTTAAGTAAATATAAATTTTAGTTCTTTTTTAAATCTTACGATATCTCTAATGGACTGTTGGATTTCATTCCAAGAAATTGGACCAGTGTACAAAAAACCTCTTTTGGTGTACATCTTTTGGTAAAAGCTTTGTTTTATATGTGAGGATAAAGAACCAAACCACCAGAAAGATGTTATTATAAGGTTCTTATCAGATTAATAAACTATAAGCAGAAATTGGCTAAATTGATCAGATCATTTGGTCTTAAAATTTAATTTCAATACCTTCCTAGCAATGTGGTTTTGAAGATTAATAACAGAAGTATAAAGCCAAAAAACATCGTAAATTTCAGTTGTTCATGACAGTATAGCTACCTCTCGTTTTGTTTTCAACACAAACCAAAGTTGTGAATCTCCTATCAAACAATGCTGTTCCTAACATAAACACTAAATAACTGAATATATGCGGTGCCAGCAGACCATAAAATTACAATGGACAGAGGAAGAAAGAACTCAGTGTGCCTAAAAAACCTTTCCTTTTTCTAAAATTTTCCATAGCAAGTGCACTCATTTTTTATAAGAAACTGGCTATAAGAAACGAGTACTGGACAGCCAGAAAAAATTAAGAAATTTCAGCACCTGAAGCAAAAAAATTAAAAAACCATTAAATCTTGATAAAACTGAGAACAACGAAATTTTGTAGGCCTGGCCTAGAAATTAAGACACAAGGGATAAAATATACTTCCCACATTTAAATACAGCATCAGAACGGAAGCGAATCTCTTGACGTGATAAAAAAAGGTCACGAACATTTCATAACATCATTCATGACATCATAATTAAGAAACATATAAGAAAGAGTGAGTATTGAAATTTCCAGAACATTAAGAAACTGTACTCAGAGAGTACTCAACATCGACCTTTGTGTCATATAAAAAAGTGTACTTTCGATTTGAAACTAATTTCCCTCATTTTCAAAAAAATCATTTGATGTTTTCAAAAAATTGTCTTTGGCATTTGGTGTCCAGATTTTAGCTGATCATAGAGTTTAACCTAAATATAAATATGTTAATATAGCTGATGCTGTTGGTGTTGGGAAAATTAAAAATGCGTTTTTTCCAATTTGGCCTACAAAATCATGCATAAAAGATGATTAGCAATATTTCTTAACTGGACCGTACATACAAAAGTATCTTATCAATAAATGACAGAATCTTTGTTACTAGCCCCCGTCCCTCTCCAACGAGCAAGTAACACTAGGAAATGATAGGTCTACGAAATATCTAAGGACATTTACCAGGTTTAACATCTAAATAGGAAAGAGAAAAGTTAACGAAATCAATCGTTACTTTAACCAAATTTATAAGAGCTCAGTAGGGCCCAAGTTCCTTGTTGCCAACATTCAAAATGGCCGCCAAAACAAAATTTGCCTCACTCCGCGACCGTGAGTGACACCTAGCGCCTTCAGCGCCTTTGAATGGTTGGTCATATCACGTGGACCTCTGCAGGAATCACATTGAATAAAAAGCTACTGTCCTTGCCTTTCATTTTTATCAAGGTCACATCACAGGTATTGTGTACTTACAAACGAGAAAGCTGATGCACTTTTCTTAAGAGAACAATGAAATTTGAGTTGAGCCTTACTGTTCCTTGATAATTTTAGATTTTCAACTTGCCATGTTTCTTCAAAACAATGCAGTTATAGGAAACCTTCCCAGAGGAAACCTTCCCAGAAGAAACCTTCCCAGACGAAACCTTCAAAGATTTAGCGAAATTGACAAACTGATTTTATATAGCTACTATCTGACTCAACTTATCAAGTCAGCAAGCAGCTTTTTCGCAAAAGTTTCTTGAAATTAAGGCAGTATGGTCATGTTTTTTAAAACCGTGTTTCTTATAAAACTAAAAACGTTTAGAGAAACAAGTTTTTGTTCTTAAAACGCAAACGAAACTTACTCAGAATATCAAAAGCTGTGGCTTACCTGTCCTTCGAAGCTGTACTTCACAGGAACAATAGGCACCTTCCTTGCAGCCATACTTGATAATGACTGGGTTCCTCGTCTATAAACGGTGCGCTTCACATTTCCCTTGTTTCGTTTTGACGCCGGCTGAAAAAGAAAACAGATTTTGTTGCAAATGACGATATGCAATACAGTTTATGGCTGATGTGAAACAAAACAAATGCATTTGAATACTCAATGTTACAAATCATAAACGACTGGAAGTAAACGTGTCCCACTGGCGGTGGGTAAAATCTAAATGAAAATCAAAGCAATGAAACTAAACGAAGTTCAGTACGTTGATAAGCTTGCAATTCTTTTCACGTCACCATATCGCATATTGCCTTTGAAGCTACAATGCCTGCCAATAGTCTTGGTGCAGTAACGCTAGTTTTCAAAGTTTAATTCAATTTATTTTGGAAAATTTATCAAATAACATTGGATTATCGTCACCGTTTTGCTTTGATTCTGAATTTTATCCTCGTATATATATTATACTCATTGCAAGATTCACAGAATCCGGCGGACAGCCTATCCTGCGGTTCTTCCTTCTAACACATTTGAACAATGTTGGTCAATGAGTAGAGATGAGTTGAGTTGGGTTGAAACTGTGCTACTTAATGTACAGGAGCTGGATGTTGGAACGTATGTAGGCTCCCAATTTTTTTTCATAGCAAGCTCATATCAAATGAACGATCAAGGGCTAACATTAATCTGAAAATTCATCCAACCATTTTACTAAACGAAGTTTTTTTACATCCTGTCTGTTTCATTTTCAACACGGACACTTGCTATATCTCTAAGTACACACTGTACTCCCGTGAACCTTAACCTCTACCAGGGTTCAAGTAGCAGTTTCGCAATTTAAAGAGATAGTTAAGAGCGTGTAATACGCTAAAAAGAGAGCAATAGTATTTCGTGGATGGTAGAAGTATTTTGGGGAATCATTGGAAATGGAACTCCCGTAGATGCCAGTTTCATAGTACTTGCCCTTGTTTAGATATTTGTCTTATCCTTGGTCACCTTCATCCACAGCAAAAGAGGCAAGCCCAATCACGGAGGACCTCGCTACATTTTAAGCTTGACGAGTTCTTTAGCCACATGCAATCGCTTGTTCGGCAGAAATCGCTGTTAAAGCTCTTTCTAAACTTGGGAAAAATTCAGATATTGCTAGCAGAATGCCTGGATTTCTGAAGCCTGATTACATCCAAAATTTGGAGATTTTCGGCGAAGGGCAGGTGTCTTGAGCGTGCTTCTCTGCTGGGTATTTTCTTGAGATTCACATAATTTTGTAGCCAAGTAATCGGATAACCTTTGGGTTGTTTACTCAAGACAAGTTCCCTTTAACACCAGTGGACGGGCCACAAGATGGTTTGAGAGTAGGGTGCAAAAATACAATGTTTCTAACAAAAATGAGTAGTTTCGAGAACTTTCAAGCCTATCATAACCTCTAACCCCATCCCCCAACCACTAAAAGACAGTTGGCGCCATCATTGACAACAACAAAAATGCAGGAAATCTGGCATCGAAGCCATCATTCAATGTAGGAAGAGCATCGTACCAAAAACGGGCAGCGAAATGTTTTATATTTCTTCCTGCCATTTATAGATTTTCATTCTTTGTGTGTTAAGTGAACCTTTTTCAACTAGATTGAGCTTGAAAATTAAAAAAAAGCTTAAGGTATGCCAAATTTTCCAAGGAGCTCTTAATTTAAAATCTGGTAACAGGGAGGAAATGTTACGAAGCCAGCAAAAATCTTGCAGCCCAGTGCGACCCACGTGAACCAAAATTTTAAATTTATTCTGCAATACTGCAGTGAATATTACTGCAATTTGATCTTAACAATGCAGGTGGCAAAACTATTTTATTTTAGTATGCTCATAGACATCAATAACCCTAGAATTCTCAAGAATTTCAAAACTGAGGTATTTCATTCTGAGAATGGAGAGCAACGTGGTCAGTGTAAACCTTAATCACTTGCAGAATTGTCAGGAAAGCAAGAGCACTTTTCCATACTATAATAGAAATTAATTAAACGCATTAAATTCAGCTTGAATATCAAGATCACCTGATCCTTCCTTGATACGTCGACGATTCTTTGAGAGATTTGAAGTATCTTCCACTGCTATCAGAAGCAAACTCGTTGCTCTATCTTAAACTAAGTATTTTTTCAAAATCACTTGCATTTTAAGCATATACCAAGAGACAGCTGCGCTGTGAACTGCTAAATATTTCACGAAACATGTTCTTTCAGATCATCAAACTTAACCCGCCGTCGGTTGCGTTTGATACTTCGTGGGCGATATCCAGTTTTTTCGTAAAAATCGAAGCCAGGTTGCAGGAAAGTGAATTCCGTCAGTTTCAAGGAGGCAAAATTCTAGACACCAAAATGGAATTTTTGAATATTTTGACTAATTCAGAAACAAATCTACTATCACCTAAAATGTTCAATGGTTAAAATCAGCTTCAAGCTTGGGAAATTGTAGAGATGCTTATATTTAGATCATTCTTAGAAATAAGACGATTGCAATAAAATAAACATGCGTTGTATAGTTTGGTATGTATCATCAAGGTATTAGGTGGAGCAGATATAGAGAATCTCCTTTGTTATGGTGCTGATCCTTGTGCCATCGAACATTTGCACCATTTTCTAAAAGAAATATCATCTCGCTACGGCAAAACTTTGGGATTTGAAGATTGATGGTTGAATGTTTACCAAAGAGACCCATGTCTGTGCATCTAAATAACTTTTATCATTGAAATTCGTTGATTCGTTTCCTTTGTTTCCCACCACAGATATTATACCAAATCTTATTTGTGAATAGTTGATATTTATTAGTTTTTGTTGAAACAATTACTTAAATCAAATGTAAATAAATAAGTTTTATCATTGCTATTTATTATCATTCTTATAGCTTATATCGTTCCTTCCCTGAAATTAGGTTAACCAAACAACCTATCTGTTATCTCCCCATTCGAGAGACAAAATGAATTTCAATAGTCTCCGGCTTTAGACAAGCAACAATATACCTCTTGAAAAAGCTGATTCAGATACAGCTGCTGAAAAAATACCACGTCCCTTCTAACTCTCAATATCTTTATTTGATATAACCGCAGATTTAAAATGTATATCAGCGTGCTATGAAAGCATAAACATAAGTTATGTAAGTGATAGAGAATTTCAGCATTTGAAAGGAATATCAATTGTGTGTAACATCCATCAATTAGAGATTATGGTTAAGGTGAAACGAGGAAACTCATTTGAACAGAACAAAAACCGGTCGTGATGAGTGATCTTTTCAATAATTTTCATTAGAATCATTCTTAAATTCGCCAGAAAAGCTAAGATCTGAATTTAATGGTCTTTTTCGAAATAGATAAAGATACATAATTGTACAAATAACCAGCATGTCGATATGTCATCCCAGAACAGGCAGGACCTAAAATGAGCGTGACCAAAATCCAGATAACTCAATGCGTGACAAGACGTGGTTGTCACCGGCGCAGCATATTTTGAGATGAACGATTATTCTGGTTGACTATGTTACAAATAAAAGCGCTTCCCCGACGTGCCCACTCTCATTCTTCAGTGGTGTACACAAGCTCATTCGAGAGGTCTAAAAAACATTCTTTCCTCTGACTTATATGTGAACTTTCGTACCCTTTTCACTGAAACATAATACTTAATGATAATAAGCTTGGTTCAGAAAACATAGTGAGCAAGAATTTCTGCTCTGCTACACTGCGACTCTGTCACACTCTTTTGTCTAAAATTGTACTTATTGGGCTTCTCTTTTTGAGAATGCTGAAGTTCTAGTTATATGATTCTTATTTTTGTTGGCTTATAAATTTTTCTAGAAAGGTAAAAAGTGTAAAATGAACACGTCGTTAAAAATTTTCCACATTTCTGTTATAAATTGTAAATGACCTTATGCATGCAAAAGTCTTTGGTTCCAAATTTTGTATTGAATCAAATTGAGGTGGTGCTCTTTCTAAAGAATCTTTGGGTTTCATAGTTATATCAATGGACAATGTATCAGATGCTGTGATATTGTCAGCGAAGAAAAATTTTCGCCTAGATTGGTTTTAAAGACAATTTCAGTAATTTTCTTCCAAATTCCAAACATAACCCCTTTTTCTAAGATTGACTGTCCTAGGTTTGAGGAGAAAAGACACCTTTTTCTTAAAGGTTTTCCGGATGAGCTTGGGACTGCTTCCATGAGGCCCTTATAGACAGTTTTCCAATGCACACTTTTTTATAAGAATATAGTCTATAAGAATATTAAGGCTCAAAGTCACTGAGAGAAAAATTAAAGAATAATACAAGGCTCTAGCGTCATCAAAAATTAAAATTTTTGTTTATTTGAGTTTTTGGGAAAAAACAAATGTGAGTTTCACGCTTTGTCTTGAAATAGACGTATCCAGCCTCGGAGTCATTAAGATTCTAACGCAACTCAGTTACACCTTGTGTCGCTCAAGAATAATTTAGGAAGAATCTTCTTATGCTCAGAAAAAAATTACGTATTCTTATAAACAAAGCGTGTAAAACAAAAAGTTACCTTGAACTTCCTTTCTCAAAACTGATGACGAAAGTCACGAAAGCATTTCGCTTCATTCTCCAAAGGTTTAAAACATAAACATTGGTTGAATTGAAACGCAAACCATGGTTGAATATTGTGAAAACGACCGACTTAGCGATGCTACCAACATTAAGGATCTCAGTAAGAGATGAAAGCTCTACAAACACAATGCCATATTCTTAGAAGCCTATCGGTAATGGACGTTACCCGTAAAATTAAAATCCAACCCAGCATGAATTCTGATGCTTTCGTTACTTCGGCCAAATATGAAAGACAGACATGGTTGTGGTGGACAATTACATCCTGCCATTTCAATTCAATTTGACCTGCTTTTAATGTAGGAGCTTACAGATAGCTGATATTATAAAACGTATCTGAAAAATAGCATCAGATTGCTTTCTTGCAAGAGAATAAGCACTTGTGGAGATAACTAGTGAGAAAAACAGAAAACATTCACTGCGTGTTAATGCATCTCAGGATAGACTCTTCTTCGACCATTGTTTTGAAAAAGCATGCTTTTAGCAATGAAACGCCAGTGAGCGTTAGTTTGATATCCATAAGAGGAATGAACTGAGGTTCTAAGCACCACCAACACTTTCCTCCCACCTCTCTTTATAACAAAACGTCTTTTTTGGTGTATTGACAGATCAACTGTCTGTCTAATATAATTTTATTTGCAATGACATTTTTGCTGCTTTTCAAAATAAACTTTAGGATAAGTTTCTGATAGATAAATCGTTCCACTTACAAACTCTCAACCGTTGTATGTACTGCCGCAAAATGATCTCCAAATGAAATAACGCATTTACAAATAGCAAAAGATCTTGACTAGCTATTCCTTCATCCAGCAACAAACAGGTATTTCATGCCTGAATGCTTAGGGCATTAGTTTCTTTGCCGCTAAACAAGATTTACCCCATTTCTAGACGCTTTTCTCTTAGAGGGACACCAAAAGAAGTTGCACCTGTAAAATTCTGGCCACAATCTGTCAACTTTCTTCTTAAGAAAGAATAATTCAGAGGAACTTAAACCACGGAGATTCATCATCTGTCACCAGTTTTGTCACCGATGACGTCATTGTCTTCCTGGATCCAATAAAGCAAGCATTTGTTACAGACTTTGCTATAGTCAGCAATTTAAAAAAAGTTTTGTCATAAAGTACTTGCGTAATTATAGACACTGGTATGCACAGGAAATTCCATTAAAAAATTAAGAAACAAAATAAGAAACACGTTAGGCTGAAACTGGAGTCAAGTGTTCTTATATAAAAAGGCTGTAGTGTATCAATGCCTACAAGACAAATTTTTAGGGTTTTAAAGTGTATTTCATCCTTTGTATTGTTTAAACTATCGTTTAATTGAAAAGTAGGACTGCTTGTAATCAAGAGTAGCAATGCAAATGGTAATGTTGAGAAAAACTTGCATTATGGTACAGTTTATCCCATTCTCAACTCTAGCAAGTCTAGGGCGTTAATAGAATTCCGGCTTCAAAATTACGGGCGTTTATCAGTCAGAAGTGTTAAAAATGGTAGGGTTCATAAATTGCCAGAAATGTGTAATGGGGAATTTCATTTATTTCATGAAAATGTAATAAATGAAATGATATTGTTTCACTGTTTATTGTTATACCGTCCTGTAAAGAAATGAATTTTAAATTTTCTAGGTTAAAGCCCTCTTAAATCACTTGACTGTCTGATGGAAGGGCGTTAAAAAGGCAGGGCTTATTTCACATAGCTGAGCTTTAAGGAGGGGTAATTAACCAAAGAGGGTGTCAAGTTGACACAGACTTTGAATCAAGGATTTACAGTATTTAAGATTCATAGCCATGCTAAAGAGTAATATTGAAAGAACGAAAGTGTCCACAGAAAAAAACAATGTGAAAAGTTTTAAAACCAAAGGACACTGATAATTGTAGACACATCATGTGCAAAAATATTCCTAGTAGACTGTAATCATTGAAGATATCGCAAGGGATTCCTTTTCTTCTGTGTGAAACCATGTGTATTTGGAAAAGCCTTTGAAGCACACAATACTACGATCGCAGCTTTTGGTTCGTGTGAGTTGATGTAAAAAGTAACAAAAATAATAAAAAAATCGATCCAGACTATATGCTAACATGTAAACGTTGGAAAACAATAAATCTTTCATTGCGTAAAACATTTTCAATTGCGTATAACTTATGGGAAAACAAGTTAACAAGACCATGAATCGATGCATTTATATTTTACATAAGAATTGATTTTCGGAAAGAACAGAGAGAGGAGAAAGACAATACATTTAGACCCCGCAACAAAGAAACTGTTTTTTCCTACTTAGCCTGAGAAGTTTCTTATATCTTGTGTCTTTTTTATTTTTGGCTGAAGCTCTCCTCAAAGTTTCTTAAATTTTTCAAGGCCCAGCACCATCTTTCTCAAAAAAGTTGCTGTACTGTATCATTAACCCTAACAATTGCATTTTAAAAGTTTGAAAACATTGTAGCATACATCTCTTAAGAAAAGCATTAATTTGCACTAAGGCCCTACCTGGGCACTACACAGACTCTGTGAAAATAGTTTTTTAGGAAAGTTTGGACATGCATTATATTCATACTATAATGCAAAAAACGCTGGCGGATAAAGGCTGCCAAAAAAACCAAGAGAACGATGACATAGAGCTCATTCACGTTAATTCAAGAATTAACTTTATTATCTTATCTAGAGATAAGGGTATTTATGAATTTTTCTGGCATTTGAAAAATTTGTTACATTTTTCCTTGAGCTGCTCTCTTATAAGAAACAAAGGTCGATATTGAGTACTCCAGTTTCTTAATGTTCTGGAAATTTCAATACTCATTGTTTCTTAAGAGTTTCTTCATTATGATGTCATGAATTATGTTATGAAATGTTCGTGATCTTTTTTATCAAGTCAAGAGATTCGCTTCCGTTCCGATGCTGTATTTAGATGTGGGAAGTATATTTTTATCCCTTGTGTCTTAAGTTCTAGGCCAACAGGGCAATTTTGTTCTTGGATTTAACAAAATTTCGTTGTTCTCAGCTTTATCACGATTTTATAGTTTCTTAATTTGTTTGCTTCGAGTACTGAAGTTTCTAAATTTTTTCTGACTGTCCATTACTCGTTTCTTATAGCCAGTTTCTTATAAAAAAATGAGTGTAGTCTAGTGAATCAAAATGGTTACCATTGTTATTCGTTCCAATACCATTGAGAACTGAGCAGCTACTTACCCATTCTTGGCGTTTCTCCATAGTATAAGTATTGTTAAAGTTCTAAGACTCCTACTGCACTATACGGTTCCACTTATACGATGCACATGTAGTACTGTTTCCTGGAGTTATGTGCAGAGTCACAAAAATGAAAGTCAGTCTTCCCTGTTCAGCTTTGCTTCAGCTGCTCTTTTGGTACAATAGTGACATCCCTCTGTTATAGGGAAGCTTATCTGAGAGAATGGTCCAATAATTTGAATATTTGTCTGTGATTAGTCAACCCGCTGAAAGCAAGTTGTCACTGCTTGTTACGGTAATAATATAATCTGATCGAGTTTAGCAAATTCCTGTTCCTGCTCAGTACAGCTTCCTGCTAGGTAATATACTTACACTTTTTTTCGATTCGATAAAATTTGTCACTAAAACTCGTCTAAAAGGGGGAAGGGAACGGGGAAAATGAAAAAGCTTGATAGAAACTGGTCAATCAAGAATGAATGGCATATAGCACGAGATGCAAGCAAATGTGAATTGAATCCATTTGAAAATACATTTGAAAAAAATTCGAGTCCAAGCTAAAACCTGCCAGACATACAAAATTGAATTCTAGGTTGCTATTCACATAGAAAGTGTACTATCAGCCTAATTGCCAGAACTTTTTTTGAAGGAAATTTATTGCATTCTTCGGATAACCTCAGTACAGATTTCGAGCAACTTTACGCTCAGTATCCTGTCAACAACGAAAAGGCCCTGCCTGGATTGAAAATTTGAATATTGAGTTTGTTGTTTGACAAACATGAGCATTGACGCTTAACTCCTGGAAAAGTTGAAATTAAATTTGCTCTCCTAGTACGTTTCTCTCAAAGTTAAAAAAAACATCAATCTCATCTTCTTATATTGGTACGACAAATCAAATCAAATTTCCAAAAGTAGAATCATGTTTCTTACAAAAAAAGCTTTGTGCAGTTTCCGACAACATGACAGTGTACATCGGAAAACTACTTTAAAGGTCATTAACGATGAAAATTATCAATAAAAATGTCAGTCAAATGCAAGACTTCCAAAAACGAGTCGATCAAAAACCTGGTCAAAATTAAATCTGGTCGAAATTTAGTTTTGATCGAAGTCAATAGGAAATAAGGACTCTATTGACTATGTTTTGATCCATAGAATTTTAACAGCTCATGAACTATTTGACTATCTTTGACTTATGACATAATTTGAAAGAGCTTCTATGCTGCTGGATTAAAGAAAGCTGTTAACAATGCGGATACTGTCTTGAGTCTTTGAGCCCTTTAGTTTAAGTCTCTGAACTGCCAACAAACAATTATGTGTTTTGAAGTACAATAATGACGTTATGACCTTGAAGCTCTATATTCATCCATCACTTGACTACATTTGCGGTGTTAGGACTTCTTTGCAACAAATGTGGCGTATCTTGGCTTTGGGAAAAGTTCACATGCTATAATTTTACAGCAAAGCATAAAAATACTCAAGACAAAGCTTCTTTTTTCTTCATTACTTTGTTGATAATTGGGTAAGCCACTTTAGAAAAACTAAATATTCCCTATGATATGCAAAAGCGGGGATGTCACCCCCAGAGTCAGGAAAACATTACGGTTGCACGGCCATTGAGCGGAAGAAGGTCCACGAAAAACAATAGAAGCTCATATGACACACCCAAGCCACGCCCACTTTAT